CTATAAAACAAAAGGATATATATATCAACAAGACTCTTGTGGAAAGAAAAATTTATCCTATAAAAAATTACAACTTTGAGGAGTGGCAAGGTCAGTCGCTAACACATGTCGGCCTGTTTTTAAAAAATCTTTTATTCAGTCACGGACAGTTGTATGTGGCCATATCACGTGTAACCAATCGTAATGGTTTAAAAATCTTAGTGTGTGGAGATCAAGTTTCTAAAACTCAGACCGAAAATGTTGTGTATAAGGAAATTTTTAATAATATCTAAATATAATGAGTTTGACTTACTTTTTTTTTTAAAATTAATAGCTTCTTACAATAGGTTGTCTTTGAACTATACGTGATATTTGAAATATATGAGATATGTTATCTGTTTTTGATTTGCAAATACCTTTAAAATTCATGTGGGCATCAGTTACCACTTGTGATTTCCTATGTGATGGTTGATGAGTTTTAAAATAGTCAATGACTCTTAGTAACATACACGTCGGCCTATTATGTTTCAATAAATGAAAAACTCTATTTTGTGCTATCTGACGCAACAGTGATCTTGGTTTTAAAATATTAGTTTGTGAATACCATTGTGACCGGTCATACCATCAATCTATGTATAATGAAATTTTTAATAATATTAAAAGAAGTTTCATTTTTTCAATTGATTTGCAAATAATATACATTTTTAATTAATTAACTCACGATAATTATTGTTATTGAACCATATCCCCCGTGCATCGCACGGGCTTAACACTGGTTGGGATAAAAGTCGGATCAACATTCTCAAAATGCCATAATTATTTTTCTAACCTTTAAAAAAAATAAAAAATTAAAGAACTTTTGACTTGTATCAACTAATCATAATCATTTATTGAAAGAAAGAATCAACAAAAAAGAACATAAATTAAAATACCATTTATTGAAAGAAAGAATTATAAAACCCGTAATTTTTTAATAAAGAATTATCAAACCCGTAATTTTTTAATCCTTAAAAATCTCCGAATAATAACATCCATTAGTTCTTTGAATATAATTAGACTTTGGGATAAAGCTCCAACCAAATTCTTGCAATTAATTAATTTCTTTTTCTTTTCTGTATTAAACTTCCTATCAAATAATCATTTACTAAAAAAATAAATAATATAAAGTATCATGATTTTTGAGAATCAAATAATACGTTGTAATTAAGCGATAATATATAAAAGAACTAGTACAACGTACGTGTATTACACGGGTGCTTGCTAATTTTTTTCTTAAAATCTAAAATTAATGAGAAAAAATAGTTGAAAATTTAAATACCTTTTATAAAAATATGTATATTATTATATATTTAGTATGACACTTTTTATTTGTGCAACTTGCATGTGTTATATTATAACAATTTTTTTAACTTACAACATATAACTACATTAAGTATAAATATATCAATTGCGAAATAATTTTATTTTTCTAATGAATTTTAATAAATATTATTATTTTTTATTATTATAAATATAAATATAATTTATTTATTTCATATATACAATATGGATGTCAAATCAAAGATCATCAAAAGATGATTAATTTGATATATTATATATGTAAAACCGATATGAAATACAAAAGTTATCGACTTTTAAAATTCATTTATTGTTCAATAGCTAATTGAAGGAAACAAATTAAAAGTCAGGGATATATTAGTCACTTAGTGCTTCAATGTAAAATTACAAAGAAATAAAGGTTTATATTAGTACAAGTGATATTAAAATATCTAAGTTAGCTAAATAATATTTATGGAATGTCAAAACCTAAATTATTAATTATTAATATATCAATATTATTTGTACAAACCTAATTACGAAGCATGATTCATTGCCAAGTAGGATTCCGAAGCACCAGAAGCATCTACGTAGGCTCAGCGCATTGGGGAATAATATATAGGAAGGAATAGGGAGGATATGATCACTTTAGAGAATTAAAAAAAA